CACCATAAACTCATACTGTAGCATTACATTGAATATGTCATTAATTTAATGCCACTAACTACTTTTTTTTTTCCTTACCAAGGCAGAAAAGCACCAACCATCCATCCTAATTGCTATGGATATCAGAATGACAAGTAACTCAGCCGCAAAATATTACTTTCACATATTTTTTTCACATTGAAAGCCCATCTCAATGTCTGTAGAAGCTATTCTCAACCATAACAAAACAATTGCAAGCACGCCACTACATTCAACCCATTCAGCATGATACTACTACGACCTAATAACCAAGAGAGTGTCCCAACACATAACTTTTTGCAATAAATGTACATGTTATCCATGGGCCTATATCGGGACCCGACAATAAATAGACAAATCAACAACAAATCAATAGATTTTTGTTTTGAGGGTAATCAATAGATTTACGTAAGCTGATTAAGAATCCAAACTATCTTTTTTTGTGCCAAGTATTGGGCAGCACAATCCAATACACATGTGAAATAATAAATTACTATAGTTTTCAAAATCACCCCTTCAAAATAAGATTGTACTCAATTGTTAAGGAAGAAATGGGTACTAAATCAGGCAAAGGCTTAGATAGTACAAGGACAGATGAGTTTTTAACTAAGTGCAAGTGTTCCGTGACTATCTTGTCATTTTCCTTGAGCTCAAAGTGGAGTTGCAAATAATGAAAAGATGATTTACTTTCTTTGCACATTGGACGAGAATTGAAATACTAAAAATAAGAAAAGAATGCACCTAAAGATACATTAAATTAAGTCTTGTAGAACCCAAATTTTAGATTCTAATAATAATCAATACGTGCAAGTTTACAGAATTGAAAGGATAAAACCAACACTCAAAATATATATGGAAGAGAAGAAAATAATTAACTCATAATATTATTGAAATCTCAAACAATAAAGAAAGTCATCCCACTATAGAAAATCTGACAAATTCTTCTAGACTCTCTCTCTCTCTCTCTCTCTCTCTCTCAAGAAAATAACCTAAACTAATGTCCATTTATAGCCTACCAAACTTGTTAGAAAAGAAACCACTTGCATAAGAAATTACCAAACAAAACTCAAATTCCTAAATCAAACAACTACTAAAAACCAGACTCCAATAAAACTAATAAACAAATAAATAAATACTTTAGAACGTAGTTTAGTTTGCCAATATTGCCTCCCTTAAACCAAACTCTCTATTGAAACATGTCCAACACCATCTCAAGTAACAATTTCTATGCAAATATCTGTCATTGTACAACTGACATGCAATTCCATCTTGTTGCCAGTTATTAACTTTATTTTTACACGTGGCAGTGGAAGCACTTTGTTTTTTGCAAGTAATTTTTCAACAATTTCTTCTTGATCAAAGTACTTATTCATACAAATCCATTCATCACCAAAATCACCATATTTACCACCAATGTAAGTGCCCCAAAAATACAAAATCATAGATTGTTCTCTTACCAAAATTATCATCACCAAATAATTCAAAATATCCACTACCATAATTATCCAAAAATTTTATACTGTCAATAAACTCTTTTAGAGCAAAAGTTTTTGAATTCCAATGAAATCTATGTCTATCAAATCAAATATCTTTCCATCACCTTGAGGAGAGTCCAAACCAATGATTTTTTCAATAATAATTTCTTTGTCTTCAGATACCATATCAGACTTCTCTTCTTCCTTTACCAGATAAAGGCATTCTTTTTCTTCAACAAATTCATCACTCCTAATCTCTCTAAACAAGTTATGCAAATCAAAACTATCAACTAATTCAAAATTTTCAATATACTCTATATCATCAATAAATCTATCATTTTCAAAATTCATAAACCATCTCCAACAACCAGACTTCGGTTTGAAAGTATAATTCTTCTCAATCGTGTGCAAAATATAATAAATATCCTTCCAAAATCTCCAAGGCATTTTAGTACAACGAACAAAAATTTTGTAAATACTTTCTTCCATTGTTTTACGCATCACTTGATAAAATAATTGTGCCTTCTTCTTGAAAACATGTTTTGACAACTCACTTGCATCAACCCAAAAAGAATATCATCCAAATTACATTGTTTGAGATATTTTTCCACCGTTAAAACTCAACCAAAATATGTATGTCTATTTGTACTTATGGGAATCAATATGAAAAATTTTTCACCGTCAATCAGATCTCTATAATATTCCATTATTTAACAATTCATATATCTAAATAAATTTTTCTCTCCCTTTTGTCGGGTTTTCCTGGTCTCCCTGGTTGATTGACCAATCAAATTCTTCAATTTGACAACCCACAACAATCAACAAATTTGGTAAGATTTTTTTTCGATCTCTGTCTTTACACCTGCAACAATCTAACAATTTTCGAACCAATCTTATGGTCGAATTTTTCACCAAATACACACTTCAGGACCAACTTTGTGGTTTAACTTGATTAACTGAATATTTTTTTGGCAACTTTTTGGGTAACTCTTTGATAGTGGAAACACACAAAACTAACCTTGTAGTCTGGCTCTGATGCCAATTGTAGAATGCAAATTTTAGAGTTCTAATAATAATCAATGCGTATAGGGTCACAAAATTGAAAGGATAAAACAAACACTCAAAATATAGGTGGAAGAGAAGAAAATAATTAACTCACAATATTATTGAAATCTCAAACAATAAAGAAAGTCACCCCACTATACAAAATCTGACAAACTCTTCTAGACTCTCTCTCTCTCGAGAAAATTGTTTAAACTAATGTCCTATTTATAACCTACCAGACTTGTTGGAAAAGAAACCACTTGCATAAGAAATTTTCAAATAAAACACAAATTCCTAAATCAAACAACTACTAAAAAACAGACTCCAATAAAACTGAAAAACAAAGAAATAAATACTCCTAAACTTGGTTTAGTTTGCCAACAAGTCTACCTAATGTACCTTGTAGTTTGCTCCTGCAATGATGTCTTCTAAAACGAAATGAAATACAGAAATCATCAGCTTCATTTTTTTCGTGAGTCCCTAGCGGCTAGCTAGTTTGAAAATTGTCACCCTATATCCAATGTTTTAAAAATCGGACCGTTAATTGAACCGATGAAGTGAAAGGGTCGAGATTCAACCGGTCGGACCGGTTCAACCCCGGTTCAATGAAATTTTTAAAAAATAATCTATATAAATATATATATGCACAAGATAAGACATGTAATGGACTAATTTAATACTTTATACGATGAAAAGTTTACTATTTTTGAATAACTTGGATTTTTAAAATTAATTTTTTTAAATTATAAGTTAAAACAAATAAATTTCATCTCAATTTTAATTATATCTAAATCCAACCCAAAAATATCACAATATTTTGAAATTATACAAAATTCACGTCTATGAGAATTTAGACATTGTGAATTTAAATTTCAATTTACGTTTTGGGATTTAGATATTGCAATTTAAAAAAGGAAGTTTGGAATTCGAAAAAAGTTAAGAGAATCGAAAATAGAAATGTAAACTTGATAAGAAACAAAAAATGAGATAAAAGTGAGTAGTTGTGGCATTAAATAATTTGGGTTAAAGAAAAATAATTCTTTTTTAACTTTTTTCAATTTAATGGACAAAAACAAAATTAAAAAATGGAAGAAAACATCAATAAATTAAAAATAAAGAGATTTGATTAAAAAGGAAGTGACAAAAGAAAAGAGGATAGAGAGAGAGAGAGTCGAAGATTAAAAAAAAAGAGCATGAGAGAATGAGATTTTGTAAGAAAAATGAAAAAAAGAAATATGAGTGTTTGTTTTATATAAATAAGTTATCCCCAAAAACTTATAAGATGTGATGGTGCAGCGGTTACTACATTGGTCTTCTATTACAAAGGTCTTGAGTTCGAATTTTGATAGCTGCATTTTGCAAAACTAAAAAAAAAAAAACATTTTGCAAAACTTAAAAAAAAAAGGGAAAGTTGAAAACTGAAAACCACCGGTTCGGCAGGTTTCACGGTTCGACCGGTCAAACCGGCCGATCCGGCCCAATTTTCAAAACACTGCCTATATCCTGCTGGCAAGCAAATATGCCTGTTTTGGGCATGCAAGTTAGCTAAAGTAGAGCAGCAAGAACACTACTGTTTACCTTTTTCTGAAGCTCAGCTATGTACTAGTTTATAACTTGTTTATGATATGACTGAATACAGAATTAAATTTTTGTAAGATTGATAGGGTGTAATTTTATCATTTATTTTATTATTAATTTTCCCTATTACCTGACCCAATGTAAATTAATTACTAGATTCTACTCATTTTTAGTATTTGGCATATATTTCAGGAAGTAGAACGAAATTATGATAACAAGTGTCAATTTGACAGAAAAGGGGTCCAAGGCACAAAGCTTATCCCAGGGGCATTGTTGGCAAAGGCAAACAGCATTCCCCTTCTCCTTGAAAGATTCTGCAAAAGACTGGTTGTACCACCTACCACCAGATAGTATCACCACATGGGACCAGTTGAAGAAAAAATTTTTAGATAAATATTTTCCTGCGTCCAGAGCTGTAAGTCTAAGGAAAGAAATTTGCGGCATCAAATAGCATTCAGGGGAGTCGCTCTATGATTATTGGGAGCGATTCAAGAAATTGTGCATCAAATGCCCCCAACACCAAATAAGTGAGCAGTTGGCATACAATATTTTTACGAGGGGCTACTTTTCAGAGACAGGAGCATAATTGATGCTGCAAGTGGGGGGACACTTGTGAACAAGACCCCTCGGGCAGCATGGGAGCTAATTGAGGGAATGACCGAGAATTCACAACAGTTCGGTATGAGGGAGGATGTCCCAATACGCAAGATAAATGAGGTAGAGACATCTTCTATTCAACAGCAATTGACGAAGTTAACCTCATTTGTTAGACAACTGGCTGTACGAAATGCATCTCAGGCCAAGGTGTGTAGAATTTGCACTGGTATGGGTCATTCTACAGACATGTGCCCAATGATTCAGGAAGAAAGTGCAGAGTAGGTGAACATGGCTGGTCACACGCCCGCGCCAAGAAAACCCTATGACCCGTACTCGAATACGTATAATCCCGACTGGAAAGATCACCCAAGTTTCAGTTATGGAGGAAATAGGCAACCCAATTTTGCGCCTAATAGATCACAGGGGCATCACCAGCAGTATCATCCTCGCCCGCTACCACCCTCTTCAAATTCAAGTTCGTCCATGAAAGAGATGATGAAACAGTTACTTGCTAATCAACAAAAGACGGATTCGGACCTGCAAAGTATGAGAAATCAAATGAGCCAGATGCAATCCATGCAAAATCAAATGAATCAAATGGCCATTTCGATCAACCGTTTGGAGTCCCAAGTTCAAGGGAAGTTGCCATCTCAACCTAAATTGAATCCGAAAAACGTAAGTGCAATGACCTTGAGGAATGGCAAGAAGGTCCAAGGACCCGAACCTGTAAGGATGAGGAAAAGATTGAGAATGAGCTTGACAAGGAGGACAGCAATGGCACAAATCCAAAGGTACTCCCAGACCCAGTCATCACAGTTAAAACTAACCCACTTCCCTTTCCTAACGGGTTGAAAAAATCGAAAAAGCAGGATAAGGAGAAGGAGATCCTGAAGGTGTTCCGCAACGTGGAGATCAACATCCCCCTATTAGACGCCATCAAACAAGTACCAAAATACGCAAAATTTTTGAGGGACTTATGTGTCAACCGAAGGCTGTTGAGGGGAGATGAAATGGTCATTGTGGGGAAAAACGTGTCCGCGGTCCTGCAGAGAAAACTCCCACCAAAGTGCAGGGAGCCAGGTATGTTTACTATCCCCTGTAGAATAGGTAATACTTTGATTAGGAAGGCCATGTTGAATTTGGGAGTCTCAATTAATGTCATGCCTAAATCTATTTATACCTCTCTAAACCTAGGTCCATTAAAAGAAACTGAGACAATTATTCAATTAGCTGACCAAACAAATGAATATCACGATGGGTTGGTTGAAGATGTGTTGGTAAAAATTAATGATTTGGTATTCCCAACTGACTTTTATGTACTTGATATGGATAATGATCACTCTCCCGATCCCTTACCTTTGCCATTAGGTAGACCCTTTTTTAGCACAGCACAGACGAAAATTGATGTTAATAAGGGCACCTTATCCATGAAATTTGATGAGAAAATTGTGCATTTTAATATCTTTGATACTATGAAATATCTTTCGAATTCTAACTTTAACTCTATTTTTTCTGTGAGTGCTATTGACCCTGCGGTGCAGGAAGTATTTGAAACTGTTGGCAGCGATAAATTGGAGGTTGCTTTAACCAAGCATCTCGAGTTGGAGACAACTCCTAAGGTGGAGTGGAGTGAAAATTTGAAATGCACAATAGGAGCATTACACTCATTGCCAACCACAACGAAAAGGTATGAAGTTTCACCCATTTTCATTTCTGAAGCTCACCAAAGGGTATTACCATCTGTGGTGCAGACACCTGTGTTGGAATTGAAACCCCTGCCGAAGCACTTGAAATATGCGTATTTGGGCAACAACGAAACACTACCGGTGATTATATCAACTGCACTCTCGGAGACCCAAGAGGAAAAGCTGATCCGGATCCTTAGAGAGTATAAAGAGGCGATAGGATAGACCATCGCAGACATTAAGGGGATAAACCCGTCCATTAGTATGCACCGGATTAAGTTGGAAGAGAATGCCAAACTTGTATGGCAGGCTCAAAGGAGGCTCAACCCCCTTATGATGGAAATGGTGAAAAAAGAAATATTAAAGTTACTGGATGTAGGGATCATATTTGCAATATCAGATAGCCCTTGGGTGAGACCAGTCCAGGTAGTTTCAAAGAAGACAGGAGTGACAGTGGAGTGCCAGTGCGCAAACCCACCGGATGGAGGCAGTGTATTGACTACCGTAGGCTGAACGCCGTCACCAAAAAAGACCATTTCCCTCTCCTTTTATTGATCAAATAGTTGAACGTTTAACTTGTAGGGCTTACTATTGCTTTTTAGATGGATTTTCAGGATATTTTCAGATAGCAATTGCACCGGAGGATCAAGAGAAGACGACCTTCAAGTACCCGTTCGGGACCTTCGCATATAGACGGATGCCATTTGAGTTATGCAATGCACCTGCAACTTTCCAGAGATGTATGGTAAGTATCTCTTCTGAATATGTTAAGAAAATAATTGAAGTTTTCATGGACAATTTCGGTGTGTATGGAGATAGTTTTGATACATGTCTAGATAACCTGAAATTGATCTTGTTAAGATGTATAGAGACTAATCTCATACTTAATTGGGAAAATATCATTTTATAGTTGAGCACGGGATAGTTCTGGGTCATATTGTGTCTTCTAAAGGTATCGAGATTGACAGGGTAAAAATAGATATTATATCTGCTTTACCTTACCCCACAAGTGTGCGAGAGGTGCGTTCTTTTTTTGGACATGCAGGTTTTTATCGAAAGTTCATCAAGGATTTTTCAAAAATTAGAGCCCCGTTGTTCCAGCTTTTACAAAAAGATGTGACCTTCGAATTCGATGACAAGTGTGAGAGAGCCTTCGACAAGTTGAAGGAGCTATTAACCTCGCCAACGATCATTCAACCCCCTAACTGGAGTTTGCCATTTTAGATCATGTGCGATGCCAATGATCATGCTGTAGGGGCTGTATTGGGGCAAAGAGTAGGAAAGGCAGCTCACGTCATCTACTATGCGTCCCGAGCCTTGAATGGGGTCCAATTGAATTACTCCACCACTGAGAAAGAGCTTCTTGCGGTTATTTTTGTTTTAGAAAAATTCAGGTCATATTTGTTAGGTGTTAAAGTAATTGTATTTTCTGATCATGCAGCATTAAGGTACCTAATGACCAAGAAAGATACAAAACCGAGACTCATAAGGTGGATACTGCTCCTACAAGAATTCGACCTGAAGATCAGGGATAAGAGAGACTCAGAGAATCTAGTAGCCGATCATTTGAGTCATATACCCGTTGGAGAGGAGAACGAGCCATTGAAGGATACATTTCCTGAAGAGCATTTATTTTCTCTAAATTTTCGATTGCCTTGGTATGTCGATTTAGTCAATTATCTAGTAACAGGTAATTTTCCTACAGATTGGCCAAAATCGAAGAGGGATAAATTGAAGAGCGATGCCAAATACTTCATCTAGGATGACCCATACTTGTGGAAGAGATGTGCAAATCAAGTGATGAAGCGATATGTAAGTGAGGCTGAATTTCAATCAATTTTAACTTTTTGTCATACTTTTGCCTGTGGAGGCCATTTTGGACCCAAGAGAACTACTCATAAGGTATTAGAAAGTGAATTTTATTGGTTTTCTTTGTTTAAAGATGCATATGTGTTTTGTAAGTCGTGTGATCGCTGTCAAAGTGTAGGTAATATAGCCCGTAGAGATCATATGCCCCAAGTCTCGTTGATTTTTATCGAAATTTTTGATGTCTGGGATATAGATTTTATGGGACATTTTCCTACTTCATTTGGTTTTATATATATTTTGTTGGCAGTCGATTATGTTTCTAAATGGATGGAGGTTAAGGCCACCCGGACTAATAATTCGAGAGTAGTTGCAGAATTTATCAGGTCCAATATTTTTGTACGTTTTGGGATGCCAAAGGCGATTGTTAGTGACAGAGGGACACATTTCTGCAATAAAACCATAACTGCGTTGCTTCGCAAGTATGGTGTACTCCATAGGGTCTCAACGTCGTACCACTCCCAAGCAAATGGTCAAGCAGAGCTATCGAATCGGGAAATTAAATCCATCTTGGAGAAAATGGTGTGACCCGATAGAAAGGATTGGAGTCAACGGTTGGAAGATGCATTTTGAGCCTATCGAACGGCGTACAAAACGCCCATAGGGATGTCACCTTACAGATTGGTATTTGGGAAGCCGTGTCACCTTCCGGTGGAGTTCGAGCACAAGACTTTTTGGGCGATTAAACACTGTAATATGAACCTAGAAGAGGCCGGTGCCCAACGGAAGTTGGATTTGCAAGAATTGGAGGAGATCCGGAACGAAACCTACGAGAATGCACTAATCTACAAGGAGAGGAGTCGGGCATTTCATGACTAACAAATCTCTAGAAAAACCTTTGAAGTTGGTCAGAAGGTCCTCCTGTACCAATCCAGGCTCAAGTTCTTCCCATGTAAGCTACGCTCCCGTTGGATTGGACCTTTCATTATTACTCACGTATTTTCATATGGTATAGTTGAGATCCAGAGTGCTAAGACGGACAATAAATTTGTGGTGAATGGACACCGTTTCAAATATTATTACGAAGGTTTTTCAAGTAGGGAAGTGGAGAGGATATCTAGATGCACCGCCGTGCCCCAATTAAGAATACCTTGCCATGTCTATCCAAAAACGTTAAAGAAAGGTGCTTGTTGGGAGGCAACCCAATTTCTTTTAGTTGTTGATTCGGTTTTGTTCGATAGTTTAAATGTGTTTTCCTCGAGGTTTACTGATTTCAGGCTTCAATTTTTATTTTTTTTGATGATTTGTAGGTGTCTCTCTGATTTGACGCGCCCACGTCATGTTATATAGAGAGCTCACGATCAGAAAGATTTTCACCCTCGTGACGCGCCCGCGTCATGTCGTATGGAGAGCTCATGGTCAGAAGGGTTCTTACCCTCTTGACGTGCCCGTGTCACTTTCGCGGAAAAGGTAAGTATTCAAATCTCGAGGAAAATTTTCGATTACCTGTTAATCTCTAACTTTTAATTTCTAAAATAAGTTTTGTATTCATAATAATAGCCTAAAAATAAAACAAAAATTTTTTTATTTTTTTAATTAAAAAAATTAAAAATTAAAAATTTAATTAATATAAAAAAAATTTCAAAAATATTAATTAATTAATTAATTAAAAAAAGGGAGAAAATAAATAAAAAAAACAAAATCTTTCCGTTGAAAATAGAAAAAAAAAAACAACAACGAAAAAACTATTTTTTTCTTTTTTTCTCTTTTCTCTTTCCTTCTTTTCTTTTCTTTCTTTTTCTTTCTTTCTTCTTCTTATTTCTTTCTCTTTTCTTTCTTCTTCCCCGCTGCCCCTATTCGCCCTTTCTTTCTTTTTCTTCTGCACGCTGCCGCACTCCAAGTCTTCAATCTTCGCCTGTGAGCTGCCACCGCCCCCCCTCTCTCCCTCCGCACGCGCAGCTCCTCTCCACTCCAGCCCTCCTCCATCACCCCGCAGCGCGACATCGCCGCTCTGTGCCCCCTCGCGCGCCTACTCTCCCTCACGCACGCCGCTGTCCGCCGCTCGCTGCTTCGCGCGCCCCCACCAACTCACCTCCAGCTCGCTGCGCCTCCTGGCTTCGTCCGCCGCGCACACTCCATTCCTGCTCATCCACCGCCAGCAGCCCACGAACGCCCACCTCTCCTTGCATCTCTCTCTCTAGAGCCCTCTTCTCCCTCCTCGCGCCTCCACCTGCCGCGTCTCGCACCCAAGCAAAGGACAGCCACCAGCTCTCACGACTGCCACGGCCGAGCAACCAACGCCGCCAGCCCCGGCAGCAGGCCCCACGTGCCGCGCCGCTTCCTTTTCACCACTGCCACTCCAATTTCTTTATTTGGTGCCCATTATAGGTATTTGCAACTTGATCCCTAACTCTTGGTATTGATTGGTATCGTTTGGGATTTATCAGTAGTTTGGAGTGGCATTTGGTTTTCTTCATTTACTGTGATTTCCACCAGTGGTACTGGATGGACTATTTTCGCTTGAAATTGCTACTTCTTTTGGGTTGGTTGAAATTGTGCGATTAACTATAAAATTGGGACCATTTGTTGGGATTCTGGTTGAACCTTGTTTGCTTTTGACTGTTAAATTTGGTAGCCGTTGTTGCCTAATGAATTGGGGGCCGTAGGTAGCATTTTCTCTGCTCTGTTATAGCAATTTCTTTGGTGTTGGACTGCATTTTGCACCAGTGGTACTTGGTTGGCGTATTTTCCCTTGCCTGTGTCAACTCTATTTGGTTGGATACCTGATTGTCTGCCAAGGGCTTGTGACTGTGTTGCTCTTGTTGAATTTCTGAACTACTATTGCTGGATTTAGCATATTATTGGGATACTTGTTGAAATTTTGGATGGACAACATTTGATTGTTGACTGAGTGAATTGGATAATCCCCGTGCTTATTGAATTTCTTCTGCTAGTTTCTGGTTGTAGATAATAGTTGGGAGTCCTGAATTATACATTTTCTGGTGGGTGCCTCAATTGTACACTTTCTGGTTGATTACATTGGCAATTGCTGGTTGCACTGAGCGTTGGAAATTCTGTATTTTGTTGTTTGAGCTGACTGTTGGGAGAAATGGTGAGACCAAAATCATCCTCTAGGTCTAGAGCTTCTCAATCTCAGCCCTTACCCCAGGCCTCCATTCCAGTAAATACGCCCGCCAACCTACCCTCCTCTTCCGGTGTCCGAACCAACTTAAGTAGGGGTAGGGGTGCTCAGGTAAATACCCCCGCTCACTTTGGGGGGCATCTGACCTTCATTAGACCCGCCGATCAGTAAAGATACGCTAAGGTCTGTGAGAGGCGTATCATATCCTGTAAATCTTGTAGGAAACTTGCTATGAGTGCCCTAGTCATACGAGAGGAAGTTGAGCAGATGTTTACAG